GACAGAAAAAGTGTCGATACTGTTGGCATGAGCTGTCGAACCAGCCCCCTTTCTCGTGATTGTACTTATATATATAAGACATCCAAACGACGCAATTTTGCTGATGGTTTACTAGAGGTCGTCCAGGATACCACGAGCTGTACTCGCCAAGTGCAGAACCATCCACCCACACAAACTTCCCTTCCTCGCGCTGGTAGTAAAGCCCGATCCAGAAAGTGTAATAGCTTATGCCCTGACTCTTGGAAATGGAGTACAGGAAGGTGGTGATCTCTACGTCTCGGGGCATGGCCAGGGTGCCGCCGTCTTTGCGGCAGATCTCGTCCGCTTCGCTGAAGGTCTTTCCTGTGCTGAAAAACTTGTAGCAGGTTCCACGCATCTCATATGTATAACCTTCGGGACAGGGCACTACCAGAAATAAAACGTGTGTTAGTTTATTTTTCATATTGATATTTCATTCATATTTATATTCTTCACTTACTAAAATATAACGTCTGTCTCTCTCTATATATATTCTCTCTCTCTCATATTTATATATATATATATATCTATATATATTCTCTCTCTCTCTCTCTCATATTTATGTATATATATATATAAACGTTATATTTTAGTAAGTGAAGAAACAGAAGGTACATATAGACTTCTGCTAGATTTGTCTCAAATGCATTAGTGAGTGGCTAAACCATGAAGCTGGTTTGTTACGTCAAAGGGTGGTAATACTGGCTATACAGATACAGAAGCTGGTGTGCTATGCCGAAGGGCTGTTATACCGGTTACACAGATACAGAAGCTGGTGTGCTATGCCGAAGGGTTGTTATACCGGGTACACAGATACAGAAGCTGGTGTGTTACGCCGAAGGGCTGTTATACCGGGTACACAGATACAGAAGCTGGTGTGCTATGCCGAAGGGCTGTTATACCGGGTACACAGATACACAAACCAAGCATGACGTGATGTATCACCTCGGACGCGTCCGGATGTTTGTGAATGTCCCGGTGGTCCAGCAGGGCAGACGGAGCGTCCCGGCAGACCGGGCGGCCCTGCAGGACCCATCGGCCCCTGGGGCCCTTCTTTTCCGATGGGCCCCCTTTCTCCTGGGGGGCCAGCTGGCCCCACGGCTCCCTTTGCTCCTCGAGGGCCGGCGGGCCCGACAGACCCAGGTCCAGCCGGCCCTACTGGTCCCATTTCTCCAGGATGGCCGGGGGGACCGACAGACATAGGGCCAGCGGGCCCCATGGCTCCCTTTGCTCCTGGAGGGCCGGCTGGCCCAACGGGCCCCTTTTCTCCAGGAGGTCCAGGAGGCCCGACAGACACAGGGCCAGCGGGCCCCATGGGCCCCTTTTCTCCCGAAGGGCCAGCTGGCCCGATGGGCCCCTTTTCTCCCGGAGGGCCAGCTGGCCCCACGGGCCCCTTTTCTCCCAAAGGGCCAGCTGGCCCAATGGGCCCCTGTCTTCCTAG